AACAATTTGGGGCTTACTGAGTCCAATGAAACAAAACTAAAGAGTCTATTTTTAGTAAAGTGGGTGGGAGTGGCGTTGGATGTAGGAGTATGCCCTGAAATCGAAGGATTGACGGTTCAAACCCCGACTTTCAGTGTCGTTGTGTCCTTGGGCAAGACACTTCACCTGCATTGTCTACTGATGGTGGCGCCAGTGCTTCTGTCAGTGAGCCCCAGGGCAGCTGTGGCTACAATGTAGCTTGCCACCATCAGTCTGTGCGTGAATGGGTGCTTTGGTCAAGTCTTCTGGCTTGAATAAAGGCGCTATATCAGTACAGGCCATTTACCATTTTTTAAAGTAGAGATTATTGCAAAAAGAACACATTTCTTTCTAAGTAAGGTAACAAAATATTTGTACTTTGCTACTTGACACCTCTGCTCTTGACCGATAAAAATTTTGCTAACACCTATTAGACAACTGATTGCACTTGAGTTTTTCTAATGGTTAACTTGGGTTTGGGTTTTAACGGTTTTAAAATCAACTTTATTTCTTTGTTCTGTAAAATAAAATGCGATGGGTGTAAATATAAATGTAAGTATGGTTTATGAAACCAAAGAACATGTAATGAAACCACTGAACTGAATCTCCAAGTGTATGTCATCTTTGCATTGTATCTGTTTGGTTTGATTTGGATTTAAAGAATTGTTGAATCAATCAGTTGGGCTGAAACTTACCCCATAAACCAGTTCGCCCACCATCCCGTTCCAAGTCTTGGTTTCCGGGTCTCTGGCTCCATATTTTCCATCAGGCACTATGGACAGCTTATATCTAATGCCCACATGCTTTGCAATTTCAGAAGCTAAATCGACACAGTAGCCTTCATATCTGTCATTGCCGTCCATCTGCATATAGTTTTTCTTGTACATCACATATGGAGCTTCCTGTTAATTAGACATGGTTTTAAGTTCAAGTTGAAAGCAAGAAGCATGTCCACAGTGGTCAGACTTCATGGGTCACACTGGGGTGTAAAGCCGTACTGAAGCACGCAGACATGCAAGGCAAGCGAAGAAAAACCAATGTTGGGCACATTAGAAAAAGAAAATAACACATCTCTGATGTATCACTGGAGGACAGGGGATGAATGAGCAAGCAGGACGAGGAAATGGGTTGTTAGCCTTGGTCATGCTACCTTTGTCCATCCAAGTGAGTGGAACCTCTGATTGGATAAAGGTTTGCATGTAGTTTGCATCTGTGCTACACAGGACAAGCTTAATGGAGCACATTTCCAGTTCATAAAGTAACCGTCAGTGACATCAAAGATACCCAAGTTGCATTTACTAGTAACCACTTGTGATTACATTCACTAAGAGAAGATGGTCGTTGTTCTGCTTGTTGCCTTAATTATATTGTTTAAAAGACACACATCACCTCTGCTTTTTAGACTCCAAGAAAAAAATCTTATCATTTTTATTTTTTACCCTGGACTGTAAAACATGTCAGCCATAAAAGATGAATTAATGTCACCTTGAAGTATTAATCAACAGGGTTTTAGTTTTTCATGTGGCATGTACATGTTTTCCAGAGTTTTATCTGAGTGAAAACAATTACCGTATGTTTCACATGAAGTAACATGAAAGAATCATCTTTCATTGAACACATTTTAATGTTGTAAAAGGAAAATGAAGTCAATGAGATGACTGTGAGGTGTCTAAAATAACGACTGCCTTTGTTTAAATCAAAAGCATGCCTGACAGACAATAATGCAATGGCACTACACTGCTGTACACTTTTCCTCTCTCTCTCTGAATAGCACTTCCACTTGGGCTGAGATGACAATGAGTTTTCAGAAGCTGAAATGGGAATGTATGACTACTGCATTCTGAATTTGCCTAAGATGTAGACATAATAGACAAAGTCAGAAGGAACGACAGAGCCATGGTTTTAAATGTACGATAAGGCGTACCTTATCGTACATTTAAAAATGGCAGATGATTTCTAACCTGGGGCAAATCTCCCTAGCGCTGAGTCTAATCCTGATCCTGGACTATGTCAGAGAAAGCTCCTACGCCGTGCTTTACCTATGGCGCATTTCAGAGCTATGTTAAAACCACCGTCACTGACAGATTACTTAATGAGAGGGAAAGAGTTTTACTTACGTACGCACTGAATGTGAATAAGATGAGGTTTATCTTTATGGTTATCTTTACCAAAGCCGTTATTGTGACGTCACTACTACAACAGCCCACTGTAATATAAAAAAACCAAAATGCTTTGGCACCCACACGGATACAGTTGAAACACTCTTTGTGAATCGACTGTTTCAACATGTAGTGAGTGGATGGAAAGCAACTGAAAAGTAAAATAATTCTACCCTCCCAGGACAGATTGCAACAATGGACACCTTGACCTTGAGTGGCAGAAATCTTATGGTGAAACATTTAGAACCTGTTTTGAAAGTGAGTACCATAATAGTAGTGACCACAATTGTTCGGTTTTCCACAGAAGAGGACTCGTTGGTGACCTGCTGATCCATAATATATACAAATTTTTCGTACTCATTCCAGTAGCCGATCTGAAAAATGACACAGAGAGTTCACGGTTATCACAGGAAGTGGAAAAGACATTTTGCAGAAGGCATGGGCTGGTTCCCTGTATAAGACGGCTTTTTTAACCTTAAAAAGCCTAAAAAAATCCAAAACATTGGTGTAAACGTTGAGGAAACACTGTGTCGTCGCCTCAATGTTTACACCATTAAAACGCAGTAAAATAAAAAATAGCTCTACTTATATTAGCCTTCCTGTGTTTCAGTTCCAGCCCAAGTGGACCTAACTGCATCATCAACCCAGCATGCACTGCACAGGTGAAAAATGGCGACCTCCATGGGGGCAAAATATAGCAAAGCATATATAATTTTTGTAAGTAAGTTTTTTACATGGCATGCAGATACCCTTTGCAGGTAATAGGAAAATCCCAATGGATTCCTTTAAAGCTAAATTGTCTGAATTTGTGAAAAATTGAGTGGTTTATTAATTAAGTGATTTAAAAATTATTTCTGGTCGCAAAAAGGCAGTCACGATGCGGAAACTAAATAAATGCAGCTCGACACTCCTGCTTCATCTGACAAATTAGCAAAGCGTTTGATTTAACAACCAGTCACAGTCAGACACAGCTTTAAATTGCGCACCTTTAATTCCACCCTATTGTAAATTGAAATCTTGTTTTTTTTTTATATATATATTTAAAGCTCAAAACTCTAAAAATAGATAAAAATGCTCAGTGAGTAAACCCAAGCAAGCATATATTCATCCGCCAAATTAATCAGAAGGTAGATCAAGCTGTCAAGATAAATTTTCAAGCATCGAGCATGCTGAGTTGAAGGTTTCTGAATCAGTGCAAAACAGAGGTGCACACTTACGGTATTCATCACAAGTGCTAAATATATGAGGCAGCCTTACTTATCTGGTGGTCAAGCTCTGTATGCTATAGTGCAGAACTCAAAGTAGTGTGATTGTAAAGCTTTTTTTAATATCACTGTAATTACAGTAGGCAATATTGTGCAGAGGTGGTCTAAATGTAAAGGTGGTAACTTAAGAGTGGTGCTCCTGCTAAAACCAGCGGCTCCTTGTACTTCTGTTACTTTATAAGAGCAGAATATCAAAAGAAACTAGAAAAATAATATGATAAAATGAACTACATTGGTGTTTATTCTACATTTACGCCCACTTCTCTGATTCAAATTAAACACAAATAAATCATAAATAATAGTTATCAAAACACGTTATAATACCAATTAAACTAAAAATAAATGTTGTGCTTTAGTTTTATATGAAATGATCAGCCATGATCATTTCATATAAAATGATCAGCCAGGAAACAGAACAATAAAAAAAGTGAAAATATTGATTCATTTAACAATAAGATCAACTAAGATCTATTAGTAAATAAACAATTATAATTACCATCACAGCTATATGCTGAAAAACCCCAGGATAGTTGGTATTATTAAAGGTTATCATCTTGTTAGACTCTCAAACCAGCGCATGCCTACTTGGACAGGTACAACCTCCAAGCATGTAAAGTGTGGCTCTGTTTAATCTGTACAGCTGGAGACAGTTTGGTTTTCCCTGATTTATGATTTAATAAAAAGCTTGTTGCTGCGCTTCTCACTTCACCTGGGCTACACTTCAGCAGAGTAGGAGTAATCTATTCCTGGCTCAGCAAATGTTCTCTTACATAACAAGAAACCAGCTCCACTAAAGCAATAAAACATGAATAAAATTATACCAGTGGGGGGAAAAAAACCAAGAGGTGAAAATGATAATTAAATAAATGCCTTGCACAGCAAATTCAGTGATCCTTTTTTTTTTTTTTAACTAATGATAGAATTCAACAGGAGGCATCAATGCACATTAAACTGATCCTTCTTACCCCGAGACGAGTCCAGCAGCTGCATTGTTTATTTCAGCCACACTGATTTCTTTCAGCCTCTCTGTTCTGGTGGCAATAACACACTGCAGATTGTCTCACACTGAGACGAGACATGGGGGGCTGCAGATGAATGCAGCCTTGTGAGCTGAGCTACACAGACATTATGGGGCCGCTCCCTTTAGCTGTCAGCTTCTGCAGGGACTCTAGGGTCATGGAGCTACTGTAGTAAGCATCTTGAGTGACATGCGGTGTTAGACAGCCTTGTTTTTGCCTTTTGGCTGGTCAAGTGTTTACAAACACACGCAAAAGCATCTAAAGAAATATATAAAACATAATAACTTAGCAAAGTTAACTAAAAATATGTTTTGAAATCAAATATGGGTGCGTGGGAAAATTTCATGGTAAGTAGCAGCCTAACATTGGTCCACGGCGCTGTCGGAGCTCTGAAGAAGCTGTCCAGCATGTAAACTAACAAGTGCTGACATGTTTTACAGCTGTCAAGTTAACAAGCTAAGTGGCTTTTCCAAATGAGTGCACCCACTCCTGGCAGACTTTTATTTCGCTAGCTCCTTACAGCAATCCCAGGACTATGACACGTTTCCAAGCTTATGGGAAAATTAGAGAAACTCCAGATGAATGATAATATGAGCTAAGATTCTCGCCTCATGTCTGCATTGTTACAAAATATTAAAATATCTGTTAAATTTAGGACTAAATATGCAGTAATACTTGGAAACTCCTTTCTCAAGCAGAAAGTTGATTTGTTCTTCCACAAAACAGGCTTAATTTGAAGGTACTCGACTTTCGCTTGTTGTTTCTGAAAAAGTTTTGACACCAATCTAGGAGTCTGCCAATCCTGTCAGCTCGCAGTAGAGCAATCTGTAGCTGGAGTCGTGATGTTTTAAGCAACAAGGAGGTCCAGCCTACTAAGCACACTCCATTCAGATGCAAATAAAAGACTCACTGCTTTTTTTCTGGGGAACTGAAGTCTGTTGTATACATATAGGGACGATGGTGTCGTCGGATTTTCAGTTCCATCGGGCTCTGGTATCACTGTCAGATTGGCATATGATTACTTTTTATACAACCTAAATGAATTCCAAGTCACAATATAAACCACAGCCAATGTTTTCTATGATTTTAAGCATGATAACAAAATGTAACCAAATCTAAATTGCCGCACACAACTTTTTAACTACTAAAGTTACTTATTTTAAATTAATATTCTCATGTGGTTTTATCTATAGATACTTTCATCTCTCTACATCCCGGACCCTTCAATCATATCTGGCCGTTTTTACATCCCAGAAATAACAGTACAATCAAAACTGATTTTCTTACCGGTATTTAAAAGTTAAAATGAATGTGTTTTTGCTGGTCGGTACAATGCTGGTAAAATTCAATGTGGGAATAATTCTCTGTTGCGCATGTGTGCACATATTAGAACAATGTATGCCGATCTGACAGTGTGTGCTGTTCTGACAGAACACCAGCTTTCAGGGACATTGTGTCCTTTTGCAAGAAACTTAAATCTGAATTGATCTAGTCTGAGGTTGGAAACTCTGAGCTTTGGCTTTTGCCAGTGTACGGCAGCCTCGCTTCTGTCAGTGATCCCCAGGGCAGCCGTGGCTACAATGTAGCTCACCACAATCAGTGTGTGTGGATGACTGAATTTAGTGTAAAGCGCTTTGGTCAAGTATTCGCACTTGAAAAGGCGCTATATAAGTACAGGCTATATACAGGCTAGGTGTTTGGCCATTTAATAGAGAAAAAATTGAGCCAACGCCTGATAGCATCCGATTTTAGCCTGTTTGGTGGTTTCCTACATGACAGAGAATTTACACAGGCATGTTCATTTAAAGTTGGAAACAATATCTATGTATAGCTTCTTTAGTTGGTCACTAGCTCTGTAAATTCATTTAAAAATAAACAGACATTTGACAGATGAAAGCAGATTTTTACACAAGTATCATAAATGGCTTGATTAACTTTAAGGCTATTTGCACATTTGATCCAGAGTTGTTCCAAAGACTCTAACTTAATTAAATTAATAAAGGAACTCATTATTATTTCTGTGCCAACAGATATTATTATTTCTGTTGGCACAGAAATAATAATGAGTTCCTTTATTAATTTAAAGTCTTGATTAAAAAAAGGATTTTGAAATTTTTTATGTAAGGAATTGCTGTACAACATTGAAAAGTAAGCTTATCAAAACAAAAAACAATATATATATAAAGACTAAAAGTGGTTAAAGAAAAACATGTTAGTGTGAAAGGGTAAGCTTAAAGTTTTATTTTTTCTTAAACTCTAGGCTGTCATTATCAACTGAAAGGATAATTTCCAGATCAAGATCTCTGAGAAAACTGGAGCTCAAGTGACACAAGTTGGATTTGCAAGACTGAGCTACAGTCAGCATCTGTTCAGCCAGTAAGGAACTGAACCATAGAGCGATGCACTGTGTCTGTCTGTATTCATGACTCAATGCACACTGTGCTGATAGTTCTATCATATGTTGGCTCTGCAGATAAAAAAAACTAATTTAGGATTCATTAATTAATTAAACTGTTTTCAAGGCTGCATGCTCACTTACCCTCCTGGGACCCTTGGGTTTCATCTCATACACGTCAATTGTGTAATTAGACCGCCGCCCAAATGTGTCAAACTGGATGTTTCCTGTCATACCTGGAACTTGGACCTGCCGTGGTGCCGAGAAAACAATTATAACACCTGCTTCGAGCAAACAGCAAGAAGGCAAACTGTTTGGCAGAGAATGTTCTCGATAGCTCAGAGTCTTTGTTCAAATTTCTAGCAGAACAATAACAACTTTATATTAACAGGAGGGACTGGAAAGAAAATGGCACTAAATAAAATCAACTACATAGCAAACAAAACTGATTAAGATGTATAAATTTAGAACATGTGTTAAATTAGGATAAAGCAGGCCTTTCCTATAGTCCTACCATTTTGAGTGCCCTTTCTATGTCAATGCCTTGGCTCCAAGGCACAGCGGGGTTGGCGAGGCAGTCCCCTGCACTTCCTCTGCGTGAAACATCTACTCGCTGGCGCCGAAGATACCGAAAGGCCTCCGCGATCACAAGGATGGCATCATGTGTTAGAGCTGATGTGTACTGTGAAAAAGAGCCAAAGACAGCTTTGAAGGAAGGCATTAGGCAGCAGAGAGCCAACATGATGTTACCACTACAACATAATATATATGTATTCATCCACCCATTAATTATAACCACAGGATCTGAAAGACCATCGCCTGGGAGCTTAACTGTGAGAAGAAATGAAAACGTGACTTATAAAGTTGTTTACAACTGGAATTCGTCTTTTTAGCATGATTACTCTGAAATATAATATGAAGCATCCTAACAAATATACAGGACCCACTGTAAGTCATTTAAACACAGTATAAAGCATGTCATGTTTTAGGCTTTTTTTTTTTTACTACAGAAACCTGGCATTTTAACCTGACAGTCTGAAGCTGTGCAAAGAAAGCATTAACCAGAGAAGCAGCCAAGAGCCCAACTATCCCTTTTTACCTGATTAATTAAACCCAACATCTATTTCTTCAATGTATCATTAAACAATTAAATGAACCATTAAATTAGGAAATATGAAACATAATAATTAAATATCCATTTTTTAAATAAAATATTCACATTGACATTTCATTACTTCACTATGTATTTATTTATTTAGTGTTCAGTAAAATTTATGAGAGCTACTTTAAAACTTCAGAGCTGTAAGTTTAGCAGTAGATTAGTGAATAAAAACCAACTGCAGTATCGGCAGCTATGCCTTATTGACCTTCAGCGGGGTGTTTTTGGCTTCTGGAAATTCTCTTTCATCCAAGCGCTCCCACCGCTGGAGGAACTGCTGCACGATGGGGCTGTCTGGGTTGATGATCTGGAAGCCGGTAATGTTGGCCCCACCAGAAAAGACCCCGTCCAGACTCATGTTGGAAAACCCCTGAGAGCAAAAAAAAAAAAAAAAACAACTGACTCATAAGAGAGGAAGAAAGTTAAAAACTCAGTTAGCTCTGACATCATGGGAACTGAGTTCCCTGTAAGGGGTTACACCTCTCTTCGCTGAATTGCATCACACTAAGAACTTCTTTTTGGTGTTTTTTATTATTTTTGTCATGCGTTGAATCTTTGTTAGATCTTACCAGGTTGGCTAGGATATAGTGGTATCCTCTGGTGTTCTTCCCTGAGGTCACCACCTTCAGTGTGCAGAAGAAGACACACAATGAGCTGCAGAATATTTACACGATTTTCATTCACCTGAACAGAGAAAACAAAGCATTTTTCAAAGCAGCATACACAGGGGCAGGTTGTGTATGTGTGAGCTATATGGGCCCATGCAGAGTGTGGAGAAACCACAATGACAGTGCTTGTTCCTTCCCATTAACTTCAACATGTAAAATAAGGTCAAGGCTCTGGCAGGCCTCCCTCTCTCTTTCTGCAGTCTGCTTCTCTGTTCTCCACCTGCCTCAGTCAAACATTAGACTTAATTAAACCTTAACATTACGAAATCACCTGTAGGAGGATGAATACTGCAAGATTTCTTCAAGCTTCAGCTCTGGTAAAAAAAAAACAAAAAAAACCCTTTCTTATCCATGTTGCAGAGTACAAAGGCTTTAAAAGACTCTCTGAGGGTGGAAACATTTTCTCCCTTTTTTTCCAGGGTGATGAAGTTGTTGCAAAAAACAGAGAAAGTACTCATCCCGCTTTAAATTTTTAACATACTGCCAGGGAACTCTAACTTTATCAAAACCACATATGTGTATAAAGTACTCAAAAAATAAAAAGTAAAAACATCTAACAGAAAATTACTTTAGTAAAAGTGAAAGTCACGGATAGGAAAGTATTTATGTAAAGGTCAGAAAATGTCCTTCCTTTCACATCGGTAAAAAGAATGGCGGTAGAATAAGTTGTGATTTGGATTTTGTCTTAAGAAAGTCTGGTATTTGCTGAGTTCTGATGGACAGAACTCAGCAAAAAAAAAAAAAAGGCATTTTGCAAAACGATATGTATTGATAGCTGCATGTCTGCCTGAGAAAACTACAAAATTAATACAACAAAATGTGTCCACTCTGTCTGTGAGAGAAAAGAACACGGTGTGTTGCACTGTAGTTGACCAAAATCCCGGACAATTTTGAAATCCCCTTTTTTAGGTATGAAAAGTAGGACATGTCCGGGAAAAAGAGGACGTCTGGTCACTCTACCATATCAACAATTGGATTTTTCAGTGAGTGAATGCTTGTTGCTATGATGCGTCTTTGCTCAACAGCTTCGCTTGTTGTAAAGCAACCAATCAGCGCAAAGCTCATCTAAATATTCATGAGCATACGATAAAAGGAAGAAAACCTGTCCTTTAATTCTGGGGCTCTTAACCAGGCTTGCATTAGGGCTCATAGGACAGCAAACATGCAATTTTCAGCACAAAAATGTTACACACTTTATTCAGAGACCTTAAGGACCAGCACCAAATACCCTATAGAATCATTCTATGACTCCTTTAAAGAATAAAACTAAAAGTCTTCATTTTACTGATATTCAAAATTATATAACATGTGAGGTCAGAAAATTTAGATTTCTGTTATTTCATATATTGATTTATGGTATTTACTCACTGAGAAAAGTTTTTTACTCAGTCTGTTTCACCTGCAAAGCCACACAATGCCTGAGTGAGAGGTGTTTGTAATAAAAAAGCATGATTGGCTGTAAGGAGGGTGGAGACAGAGGGCACTCTGAGTTTACTGAAGAAAACCTGCTGCTGACCAGGTGAGCTCTAGGCAGAATGTTACTGCGGTAACAGACGCAGGGATTGAGGAAACTCTATGTTGTGCTTATGTTTTTTGCTTAAAACGGAAAACTCAGAATTTCCCTGATTTCAGGTTTAAAAAAACATAAAAGTTTTCAGTAAACCTGCTTCGTAAAACGGACCGCCGTAAGTCTTTATAAACTGTTGCCTCGCACCAGAGCAATGTGCAGTGGGAGCTCCGATGTTTTCAGCAACATGGAGGTCCTTCCTCCTGAGCACATTACAAATCCAATGAAAATAGGTTGTTGCAGTCTTTTGTCATGTATGGCTGTTGTTTGGGCCATTTGAAGCATGATGAGTGTGTTTGTGTAATTTCTTGAAAATTTGTTCCAGGACTTCCAAAGAAATTACACAAACGTACAAAAAAGTCAGCTTCCCTTAGACTAAACTGAAGCATGCTTTGTAATAACAGACAGTTAAATTGATAGCAAAGCAGACAAATCTTAGCACCATTTAAGGGCTGAACCAAAATTGTATTTTGTGAAGAGTGTCTTCTTGTTTATTTTTTTGGTTTGAACGAGCATACATAAAAAAAAGACACTTTCACGCTTCGGTTTTAACTGAAGCCCAACACCAACACACTTTTTAACATGAAAAAAAAAAGATTTCCAGGTGATAGCTCGTTTAATGCGTGATAATCTGCTAAATAAAAGAATGTGCAACATAAAATTCCAGCAGATTAAATCCAAAAATAGGCAAGGAGTATGAATATGCTTTAGGAGGCACACTCTCACCTTCAGCGTCTTCATACCCAAGGCAGTTTGTTTCCCCCCACACACCCTAAAGCCCTTTATTTATCCTCTCCTCAGAGTCACAGAACAGTCTCTAGAGGGGGAGCGTCCTTGATGCTCCAAGGCTGAACCCCCGACAGCTTTATAGCTTTGAGCAATTTCAACAATAAATCCAATTACCTCTCTTGCAGATACAAACTGATTTCATTGTGCTTCAACAGGCTCCAATTTAGAAGCTGCACCTCATAACATTTCAACACATGCACACATTTCCGGCACTTCCTCTGACTTATTGTTTTCACAGAATGTCTTCAAGAAGCTTTTGATTTGCTTTCCAGTCATGTGAGAGGAGAGTCGCAGTGACCAAAGGGACATTTAATGAAGCTGCAGCGCCTGGAGACGGGTTACATATCCTAGTGACAGTGCAGTGAGATACTTCTACATGAGAAACAAGCTCTGTAAAGAGCATTCTATTTACAGAAAATAAAGCCTTATTGCTGCAAAATATTGTAAGATCAAAATAAGGTATTTTTTTTTTGTTTCATTGTGCAAACAAAGCAGTTTTATTTAATGCTTCATGTTAGGGTCTGCAAGCTGCTACTGCTGCAATTCACTGATTAAATGGAAATCAAATGAATTTCATGCATCGTGGTTTGGTCAGTAAAAGCTGACGCTAAATCCTTGATCAATAAATGCTGACTGTATTCTTTCATGGACATTCAACTGACATTTATCACATTTTTCTTTAGCTAAAGTATGTAAGTTCAGAACAATCAATGCTTTGAATTGAGTGAAAACAAAAGTCCTTGGCAGATCATCCATACACGATCAGCACATAGAAAGGAAATAAATCAGTACTCTCATTATCCTAATGGGGACGGAGGGATAATTCATGACTTGGGTCTTCTGCTGGATCGTTTCTATGTTTGCTAACAATGAAGTGCCAATAAAAAATGTTATATACTGTGCAGGTTCTTAGGTAGTTGCAGTTAAAATTAAAATGCCAGAGAGACCCTTTTCTTAAAAATGAAAAACTGATGTATGGAAAAATAACACTGAGAAAATACTGTAGTCAGATCACTAAAATGAGCAGTTGTGGGAAATATGGTTAAAATCTTCTTAAAAATAAAACTTTTTTTTTAGACTATTATATGATTTCCAAATCAGATGTTTCCGCCGATGGATTTGAGAGGAAAAAACGTCAGCTGTGATCAAACAGTGGAGCACATGTTCAGGGTGCAGCTCTGTATGTGTAGGAGCCGCTACCTGTGCCGCTATAGCGGAGTCAATAGTGCCACACAGCAGTAAAAACGCATGTAGGTGAAACAGAGCGGCATGAGGGAGTAGCAGCAGGCCCAACGTAGGACTTTAGTTCCTGAAGACACTTTCGGATTTGAAATTTATCTCAAGTTTTAGAATTTGTCATGGTGAGTTTTAGGGCTAAAGCAATTAATTGGATTGATTAATTAATCGATTATTGAAATAATCATATACTAATTTAGTAATCGGTTAATCATTAAATCGAGTATAGAACATCTAAAACATGCCTTTAGCTGACAGAGCGACCCACTTAGAGCAGTAATTATATAAAAATTGTAAACGAATCAGTCTTCCAAAGTTTTTAGTTGTATTGTGAACGTGATGTGCTGACATGGATGCAGCTATAAAGACGACGGAACAGGTGTTACGCCAAGTAATACCTCTCCTCTCACAAACTGATGAGTAAACAAATTGAAAATTGAACGAAAAGGGAACTTTTAAACATATTCTTAATGTTTTTATATTTCTTATGTATGGATGCTATAACTGGAAGTGGGACTTTTTTTTTGTGCAGCAAAAACACACAATCTTAAGAATGAAGATGAAATTCCGTGTGATTTTGCAAACAAAAAAAAGTATTTTAAATTCTGGAGGTAGCACACACATATGAATGCCTATGGCAGAATTCAAATGAGCGATTTTAATCTAAGTGAGATCAATCTAGATTGAAAAAATGAATCACTAATACAAATGTAATTGTATGTATCAGTGAAACAAGTTATGATGTCTGTATAATACAGAATGTAAGCAGAAAAGGTTTCTGGTGGAGTTTCTATTTTCTTCTTGAAATAAAAAGAACAGTATTGTCCTAAGGAAATGATCTTATTCAATCATATTCACTATTTCAAATTTGACATTATAAACAAAAAAATTCTTTATAGGGTCTAAAACAACAAAATATCAAAAAGTGTCAATTTTTTCTTAAATTAAGAGCAAGTCTTTTTGATTTAAGTGTCATGACTTCAGTTTTTTTGGTTCTGTTTAAGTCTTCTTGGTGCTTCTTGGTGCTTGGTTCAACAACACTGTTTACACAGGTTAAACAGTGTTGGTGCAACACTGCTTCCCTCTCCTAAGGCAGCGGACACTTTGCCAGAACACTTTTGAGGCCGACCTACAGTCCTCCTCCATGGCCTCTCCGAACTCCTCCCAGACCAGAGTTTTTGCCTCTGCGACTGCACGAGCTGCAGTATGCTTTGCCTGCCGGTACCTGTCAGGAGTCCCACTAGCTAACAAGGCCAGGTAGGTCCCCTTCTTGAGCTTGACGGCATCCCTTCATTCTAGGCGCCACCACTGGGTTCGGGGAATGCCAACACAACAGGCACCAGAGACCTTACAGCCACAGCTA